TCCTGTAAACGTACCTTCTATTTTTCTCAGTGGTAATTGTTTCCACCACAGTTCAAAAATACAAATTTTACAAAGGTTTGCGCCCAAATATGCAGGGTGGGCGCCGGGCGCGGCCTGCCGCTGTGAACTGCATAGCAGTTGCCATGCCGTCTGCTCGGGAGCATCAGCTCTTTCGAGCAATAGCCAACAAACCCCATTCACACACAGGTGCAGGTCTTTCGATGTGTACGTCCATGTTTTAAAATTTCGCAGTTTACCCCAAAACACTCCGGTGATACTATTTTAACCCTCAATATCCCCCCCCCCCCTTCCAAAAACATAAAGGTTTGCCCTTTTTATTGCAACTGGCAACTAAACGGAACTGAAATTCACCTCAAATTTCAAACAAATGTTTTATTCAAAAAACGGACTCTGGGCGGTTGAACCGGAGTCAACATTGGTAAGGGTGGTTCAAAATGCAGTTGAGAGCCCGGCCTGCTCATATTTCCCTGTTATCGGATTTCGACCAAACGTAGCTTGTTTGCAAAGAAGGCAAGTTATATTTTGACCGCGTACGGTGAAAATTCGAGATTTGGAACCATGAACAAGCCAAAGCTCAAACATGCTGCAATTGTCATATTGAACCACCCTGACATTGGTTCGTAAGCCCGCGTGTGAGAGAATTGCTTGCCACACTTGGATTAACCCGAGATATTGAGTTGTCGAGGGGGCTCGGCCGGAGCATGAATCACCCTGCATGAGTGCCAATGGATAAGTGAACTCGACTCATAGTAAAAAAAGTCAGAGTCACTCGGTCACGCCTTTTCCGATCCATCGTGGGATTACTCTGACTGTTAAACTTTTACGATATCTTAAAAACGATGTACAAAAAATTTCTTTTGATTCGCACTCGACTTAATATTTGTTTATTTTCTCTTCCGCATTTAACTGACAATGCCGTATTTTATATTTAGAAGAACGACACTACTCAAAATATCAAGAAATGGGTTAGGCATCTTTTTTTAAATTATTTTTAAAGAAGTTAACTTCTGTCACATATCTTGCGTACGCAGTGTTGGCAAGTAGCTTGCTGACTGATGCTCTGTATCATTTTCCTGACACGCTGTCAGACAGGCGCGTGACCTGGACGCGGTGACTGGCCGCGCTCAGGCTTGTGCTCAAAGATAGTGTCGTAATCCTTTTTGGATTTGGTGTGTATTTTTCAGTGGCATTTGACTTTTTAAAAACTTTCTGCCGTGAGCTTTTGTTTAGAATACTGAACCTAAATTCTTGTAGCGTCCTTGCCCCATGACTATGTACAATTTAAATTGTCTGCCCATGTGCCATGTACTGGATTAAATGAGTTATTTCAACTTGTACGTGTTGTGGAATGACTGGAGATAACCAAAACGTGAGTGTGCACGTGTTGGCTGAGCGCCATACCAAATGGCACAACAACGAACGAACAATTTAGATAAATCTGTAAGTAGAGAGAGGGAGAGAGAGAGACAGATAAGACGATACCTAAATGACTCCTTTTTATGTTTTTGAAATAAGATCGTTTTTAGCAATTAATTGACAATTTCAATCGGAACCCACTTGCGAGTTCAGTAGTATTATTATAATTTCTTGAAAACGAAAATCACTTGAACCCCGCCGTGTTAGCACATTTAGTAAATTGCGGGGAAACAATACAACAGCACATCTTTGACGGACATGCGAGCCTCCTCATCTCCTTCTGACTCTAGCTTCACCCCGGGCAAGGCCGCGTAGATCGGTGCCCCCCTCCCTCTGCCCCTGACTCCGCCCCCGCCCGCCAACGCCTCCACGTGCTGCAGCTGGGGGGCGGTGGAGGCAGGGAGGTGGTCCACTGCTCGGGGGGATGCAGCTGCAGGAGTGCAGGCGGCGTATAAATGCAAGGCGCAGTGTCCGAGTCGGCACTTCAGTCACAAGTCCCCGCTGCACGCCGGCATCATGGTCTCCAAGGTGCGAGAGTTTCCATCTAAAAGTGATTTCCCAAGTCCGTTTGCAATGAAGCCAGTCTTCTAACTCTATTTCAATCGCACAGCTAGTGAATCAGTGCCAGTGAGTTAGTGAGTGCGCGCGTTATATCCTGGTGTCTGCCTGCCAAGTGCGTTCAAGTCTCCCATAAATTTGATGCAGTTTGCTGTTTACTCTATGATTTTGTGTGCTCTTGCTGCGTCGAGTGTGATCCTTAACGGGCCAGTGTATCGTCTATCATGCTAGATTTGTATCTTTAATTTGTATAAATTTAAGCAATTTCAATTTTTGCACAAACTTCTGTGTTGATTTGGACACTTTTGTGCATTCATTTGTACGAAATTGTGCACTGTTGCGCACAAATTTGTTCGAAACAAAACGTAGGTAACGTAACTTAACTGGAACTTTTCCACAAAAACATACAAAAACATTCAGCGTGTAATAATGCTTATTGCTTAGCGGTCATATATGAGGCGTGTTCCTTTTGGAAGACAATTTTAACTGTGCTGAATTAAAACTCGTACTAGTTACTCATTGTTTTCTTTTAGTCACAACAAGGAGGTACTCACAGTTTTATCACGCGTACACTATGAAAAATATCGTCGTAAATTTACAAAAAGTTTTGTAAACTCGAATTATAATTTAAGTTGTCAATTTACGAGACAAGATTTTTTACTCGTCAATGGATTTTTAGTCGATACGTACTACATGTATTTTTACGATTTCAAATTGTAATTTTACAACTTGCGTCAAAGAAAATTTTCCTGTAAACGTACCTTCTATTTTTCTCAGTGGTAATTGTTTCCACCACAGTTCAAAAATACAAATTTTACAAAGGTTTGCGCCCAAATATGCAGTATACTTTGCGATTTAGTTTGGTGTGTGCTTTTGTTCTGTTTTTTTAACAATGTTGGTCTCCGAATGCTTCCTCCCCAGCTGGTGATTGTTTCGGCTCTGCTAGCCGTAGCTAACGCTGGCGTCATCAGTCCCTACGGTCTGGTCGGCGGCCATGGAGGCGCCCTCATTGGTGGCCCCCTAGGCCCCACGGTGCTTGCCGGCCATGGTCTCTCCGGCGCCTACCTGGCGGGCCACGGTGGTCTCGCTTCGCCCGCGGTGCTCGCCGCCGCCCCTGCGCTCGTGGCCGCCCCCGCCGTCGAGCCGTACGACCCGCACCCCCGTTACTCGTACTCGTATGGAGTGTCGGACCCCACCACCGGTGACTCCAAGAGTCAGTCCGAGGTCCGTGACGGTGACGTCGTCAAGGGCCAGTACTCCCTGGTGGAGCCCGACGGCACCCGCCGTGTCGTCGACTACGTCGCTGACCCCATCAACGGATTCAACGCCGTGGTGCGCAAGGACCCCCTTGCCGTGCACGCAGTAGTCGCCGCTCCAGCTCCCGCCCTTGTAGCCGCCCCTGGTCTCTCTGTGGGTCACCTGGGTTATGCTGGCCTAGGCCTGCACTGATCCATCAGCTTCCATCTAGCGTACCCTCAATTACCTCAAAATGATGCGTGCCGGGACGAAAGACAAAAAATAAATTATTTGTGAAGTGTTTCCTGCAGTCTTTTTTATTTCACACCTGTGCGCCTCTTTTAATTAAATTGTTCTTAGCGAAATCCGCATTTTGCAAAGACACGGGTATGGAATTGTGCTGAGTGTGTTGGAAACTAGGTATGCAAAATCATTCATACACTCAGGACGAGAGCGATCATCGTGCTAGGTCGAATCGACTAAATGGTTCTCTGGGTGTACTTACAAGGACTGATAGAGCCAGGACGCGACTGGCGCAGGTGCAGGCAACGATAGCGAGATACTAGACAAGGACCCGCCCCAGAGGTGACTCAGGAGTAGCGGAAGGGGCCCCCTCCCATACCCCGTATCGGTCTCTCCTTCCTTCTCCCCTCACTCACAAGAGGGGCAATTTCACAGAACTGTTCGTGTAGATAGTCCAACTAAAACCAATCTTCTACAGGGTGGGTGATCCGCGCCGTCCTTTTTTCATGCTTATACTGTACCGGATTCACGCGTGCGGACGGGTTGCATACTCGCACGGTGCCGTAAGGTGCCCTGGCGAGCGACGGTAGGCAAGCCCGCACGCACGCGTGAATACGGTACAGTATAAGCATTAAAGGACAGCGCGGATCACGGATCACCCTTCCTGTAAGTAATCTTACATTGTCCGTAGGATACTGTAAGTAAAGTTGTGTATTCTCTACTGTATCGTATTATACAATAATGCACTCACCCTTCGATGAAAATAGTCTTGGATACATGCGGTATCTATCCATCCATATTTTTCAAAAAACTTGAAATAAAATTTATCTTTTACGACATTTTGTCATATCAGTCCCAGCCAGAAACATCGTATCGATATTCATCGTGAGAATTGTGAGACATCATGCTGTGTGCCGCACACTGGTAAAACAAGTGGTAGTTGAAGTTCAAGTGTACATTTTCTCAACACATTATGGTGCTTAATCTTTCGACACTTTCGAAAAGCATAGCAGCTGCACACCGTATGTCTAAATGGCGCTTGGTCCTATAGATATTTGTGTGTGTCCAAGTGTGCAGAATTAAACGTTTACAGTGCGTTTAAAGTGTGCACACCACGCAAATCTGCAACTTGAGTTAAACACAATGTAATGTTGAAAATCATAACTTGCACACGTTCGGTGTTTAAATTATGCTCTTTTGTTTTACCAGTGCAGTGACGCCCGGTAGTCACCCGCATAACTACTGTAAGACTTCACTCAAAGGGTTTGAAGGGTTGCAAGTGGGCTATGAGGAGGCTGCGAGTAAAGAACGTACATTATAAATGGCGATCTGAACAGTCCATAAAAGGGATATTTTCGAATCTTTTAAGGCGCCATTTAGAAATAAGGTATCGAAACAGCGATGTGACTCGCCGTTATTAAGAAGGAGAGAGAACTCCTCACTTAACGATTTGTGAATGCAATGTATATACACTTATCTTTTTTCCGTCCTTTTCGCTGATAGTAATTCTACATTCGATTACTTTTAATTCTTGAGTTCAATAATATAACCGTTTTGTACAGCCTAAGCCTTGGAAAAAATTCTTACAAACACTTTTTTGTAATTATAAACGACTTGGAAATCTGGAAATTAGTTTTCAAACCATTTGAGTTCTCCCTATACAAAAAGCTCCGAAGCTCTTTTGGCAGAATATGACGGTGTCACATTACATTCCTTCCTTCTCATTCCAACATGTTTGAACACCGATTTATAACCTTTGTTGGTCCTAGATATTTCAGAAAGCTAACTGTTGTTCCTTCTTTGTTCCAGGTGAGACCCAGTGTTGGTGAGAGAATGAACAATACAGCGTGAGTAACTCTTCGGCTAAGCCTGAGCCTTGGTGCGGAAATGTAAATAGCCCACAAACTACGTGCATATCTTCGCGGCGCATAGTTTTAGACACCTATTCATGCGTAAAATTGTTCAGTCTTCGCCAACTGGAGTCCTCCAGTACGCTATTAGTTTTACTGCGGAGCGTGGCGTAGCGCTGCTCGCGCGCGCACCGTTTAGGATGCACACTACTGCCGCTCCCGGTGCAGTAGGCAACCCATCCGGCTTTGTAGCGCCCCGGGTCGGCCTCTGGCCTCGCTGCTGGACTGGCGTGCACACATGGGGTACAAATGACAAAGTCTTGGGTTTCAAGAAAAAAATATTTTTTCTAGTATTTAACTAAGGTTAAATCTCCGATTTCGTTGGAACTCGGAGATTAAAAGGTTATTATAATATAAGTCGGATGGCACTGGAAATTTTTCCTAAACTTAACAATTACTAGGGGTTAACTTAAGCCTGACACTGTTTTTTGCTCCAAATATCCCTCTATCGCCTTAACGGTTCAAAATAGAGCAAAACGGACAAAATTTTATTCCAAAGGCCACTACTCTGACGAGTTACCCCTAGAACACTGCTTTACATTTTTTTCAAAAAATGTCTTTTTCTAACACCTTACTCCTACCCTACATAGGGAAAAAGTAAATGTCAGGTTTAGGAAAAATTTCAAGTGCCATTCGATTTCTACATAAATAACCTTCAAATTTGCCAAGTTTCAACGAAATCGGAGATTTACACCTGAAAAGGTTCCCCTGTTAAAGAAACTAGCAAAGAAAATGTTTTGAGAATAATTGAATATTACCTTTCCACAAAAAATGAGAGAATGTTAAAACACATTAGAGGAATCCAAGGAAAGTTTGGTGACAATTGAAGACCGTATAATTTTGTTGTGAGAGGTACGGTATTTATTTTTTTGTTGATCTTTGATCGAAGTATAGGAAACATAAAGATCCAACTTTTTGCAAATAGTCAGCTTTTACCTCACTGCAAAGATCCATAGACTTTTATCCATACCACCTCTTAAATACGCAATTTTGACCTCCAAATTTTAGGAACTGATGTATCCGAAACCTCTTGAGCTACATGGCCCAGATTTGGAGTGGGTTCACACTACATGAAGTCCTTCAGGGATAAAAACCAAAATCCCGAAGTCTTGGGTCGACTAGGCAAAGCAACTAATCGGATATGTTCTGAGTGTAATTCTCCGTGCACTCCTAGTGCACTTTTGCTCCACCTGGGTACTCTGACTGAGTGTACTCGGGATGTACCCCGGGTGTGTTCCGCGTCTACTTCTGTGTTCCCCCCTAAATTCGAATCAACGAATCCCATTGCTTAAACTGCCGCGTCCGTCCTAAATAGGGCTGTTGCTCCTTGCGGAAACATGTTATACTTAACCTTTTGAGAAAGGCGCCAACCTAACCTACCCTACCCTAACCTAACCTTCCCTTGAAGGTAGGCGACAGCAGCTGTTCGTTCTTCCGCCGGGCGCTGTGCGCGGTGTGGTGGTGGTGCGAGGCACGCGGCGCGCACCCGGCGCGCACGGCCCGAGCACGTGGGCCTCGGCATCCTTGGACAAAATAATACGCGCTGGGGCGGCGAGCTCTGCGGCCCTGGTGCAGCCGGTGCCGTTACGCGCAATGCACTTACTGTCATTGGCTATTCTGTTACTTACGAACCGGATGCCTCTAGATAAAAAGTATGCCTTTTCTATCGCATTACTGTGCATACAGAGGCAGAAGGCATATACTCACAATTTATTAATTTTTGTATTTTTGCTATTTGTCGACAACGTCATCATACTGTTTTACATTTAATTTTTGACATGGTATCGAAGTTAACTGAACTTGGATCTCTTGGAGGGTTTATATTTGAAGTAAAACAATTGGGTTTGCCGTCGAGCTTTTTTTATTCCCTTTCTTCGTTATTTACAATCAAATAATTTACAGATGAACACAGACAGGAGGCGCCGGGGCGCCGTTTAATACTGATTAGTATTCCCGAACTCAGACCCACTTTCAGTCGCATCAGTGGGTCCGCTTGGGGCAGGGCCGGCCTCGAGTGAGGGTCACGGCACAGGCTCCCGAGGCCGGGCGGGACGGCAAGGGGATGGCACATGAGTGGAAGCCGTCGTCCTCAGCAGCTTACAGGTGGCCGGCGAGGCCGAGGCCGAGGGGGGAGCCGATGAGGCCTTGGGAAGAGATGAGGCCGGGGGAGGAGATGAGGCCGGAGGAGGAGATGAGGCCGGGAGAAGAGATAATTCTGGTGGCGGGGGCGCCAGCGATGAGACCGTTGGAGATGAGGCCGTTAGAGATGAGACCGTTGGAGATGAGGCCGTTGGAGATGAGGCCGTTGGAGATGAGGCTGGGGGAGGAGATGATCCTGGTGGCGGGCGCGGCGATGAGCTGCTGCTGGATCAGAGGCTGGGCTGCGATGAGCTGGGGACTGAGGGTACGGGTCACGGACTGGCTGGAGACGGCCACGGCGCCGGGGGCGGCCACCAGCCTGGGGGCGGCGATGATGGAGGCGGGCGCGCTGAGGGCCAGCGGGGAGGCGGCCAGGCCGATGGGCGACAGTCCCAGGGGGGAGCCGATGATGCCAGCCTGGGCGGCCACGGCCATCAGTGAGGCGAGGATCACGAACTGAGACAGAAAGAGCTCGCTACAGCAGACCGCACCGTTTGGAAGAAAGGGACGAAGGGGTCGAAGCACTGCGGGCGGGGTGCCTCCCACAAGTCCTTGCACCTTACCTTGCACGCCATTTTGGTTGGTTTGTCGGGCTTCTGTCTGCTGCTGCTGAGCGAGGAAACAAGTCGACTATACCCTTACCGCCGTGGACATCGGCTTTTATACGAGGAGGAAGACTTGCTTGCTTGCTCGGATTTTCTTGTGTCTGTTTGCGTGTGTGCGAGCGCGTGCGTGCGTGCGTGCCTCCCCCCCGCCCTGCCGACGATCGGGTCTCAGATCTTTGCTGCCCCCACCCCCTGCAATGCGCCCCTCCTCCACCCCTCCCTGCTGACGCCTTCGCTGATACAGTTGCATCAGCCTATACGTTCCGTGTGCGATGCCTAGTTTGTTGCGGGTGGACCACTTCGCTGCCAAAAAGACGAAAACGCTTCGAGAGAGCATCCGCGTCCAACGCGAGTCCTTGGCTCAAAACTCGGAATTTGGGAGTCGTTAGCTGTTGAATGGTTAGTTTGAACACTTCATCTACGCCACTTAAGGTATTGTTCAATAACATAATAGAGTCACCTGCCCTGCTCGCTTGTGATTGGTCGGATACCTAATGGACGACCACTTCGGGTGACCACTCCGTGGTTTCTGCGACAACCTGTGTTTGTGGGGCAACGGGCAGCTTATGGTGTGGTTGCAATAATTTTCGGTGGTGGGAAAGCGCATCACATAGTTCAGAGCCATAGTGATGTGGTCAGGGAGATGAATAGACACATCTCTCATAAAACTATTAAAACCTGTTCTATGAAAGAAGCATTTAAATGAACACATATCAAACACATCGAATTCCGAGCAATGAGTTTTCAGGCGGGCCTATGGTCTTGGGGGGTGGAGCGTGCAATGGGTCAGACGATACAGATGTCCAGTGGATTTGAACGAGGCAGGCAGCTCAGTTGTCGGCTGGGGCTGGGCCGACCCAAGGCTTTAGCCCCGCCTCGCACATGCAGAAGTCACGTGCTTTGCGTCCTCTACATTTTGACTATGTCTCTCAAGTATTCCACTAAATTTTTGTGAGAAAATTAGTTTTTTGAGTTGAATATTTCTCGAGGCACATCGTGATACGAAACAATTTGTCCTATAACAAATGCTCCAAAACCCGTGTATGTTTTACATTGTAGTTGATCATAAGAGATGTAAAATTAAAAAGCTTCGTTTTGGACACTAAACGAATACACTGATAATCTAAGTGTGCAACTTCTTAATACTTGTAAGTGTGCAACAGCAAGTTGAATATTTGAAACTCCTTACGCTTTCTTACGCTGACTGTGTAGGAAGTAGTGCTCAACTCAGAAGTTGCACACTGACAAGTGTGCACACCTACCGAGATAAACACTTCCAAGTGTACAACTACAGGGTAACACACTTGCAAGTATTCAACTTGCAGTTGCACTCTTACAAGTGTTAAGCAGTTGCACACTTATTTTATCAGTGTAGTGCTGGTGAGCCAGAAATGTTTTTCTCTGAGCAAACTGCGTGAAGAGAGCTATCCGCACACCAAGGGTACAGAGTTCTGCACACCTTCTGTTGTACTAAATAAGGAAATCCGCGAAACACACAAACTCCCTTGTAGTGAAGTTATCATATTTCTTATGTCTTGTCTACACCGAAAACGCACTTTGTCGATTCGATGCATTCTGAACCCTTCTCAACCTTATTTTGAAGATATTATTTTATTGTTGTCTAGATAAGACTGTTGTCTTAAGAACTGCCAGTATACCATATGAGCTATTAACCTTTGCGCTCTTTCGTTGTTATGTTGAACCGCATGCGGGCGTGCGGTTGGGTTCGCCTATGGTCGCTTACTACGGTGCCTCATGAACCGGATCGGGTAGGCAACCCTTTCGGACGACTGCACGCTCTATCCTCCATGGCATGATTTTTCTTGTTAATTCACTTTGTAAATCTCTCCCCTGTCTTGAAAGGGGTGTAAACAGGTTTTGTGTTAGCATTTTAGCCAAAGCCCGATCTTCTTGCCAACAGTAACTGAGAAAATCGTTACTAATGCGGACATTTTCAAACGTCAAGACGGTCAGTTGTAGTGAAAGAGAGTCTAGTAAGAATTTGACGGTGTGCATCCGGTGCGTCATAATTGTACATTACAAAAGTGCGCGGGGTACACCAGCCACCTGGTGTTTTGCGAAGTATTTGTTCTAATTGTCATAGTCATTGAGGTAGCAATGTGTGTCTGCGGGTGTGGTAAAAGTTCACCCATTGCGAATGATCTCCGACCTCACCGAATCTAAGAAAGCGGGTGGGGGTATGTTTTTTGTTGGGGCGTCAGAGGGTCAAACTGATAGTTGCCGTTTGGGCCACGTGCCAATTTCGCTGAAACGACCTCGTGGCCGCCACTTGCCACCGTGGGCCGCTTCTATTCTATGTGGCGACCGTATGTTGTTTGTGTTGATCCGCGTTGAGGTAGGTTAGTGTGGCTGCCCCACCTCGCGGCCCCTCCCATCCTCTCCTCGGAATACAATCATTCGGATATTCCTACCAAAGTGTTCCCCGTTGACGCAATTAAAGTTCCCACTACTTAAAGTTTGCAAAAACACTTATTTTTCTGTTTTTGAGCCAGCATTTGTGTATCTGTGTTTCACATTTGAGTCCAACACTCGCTTTTAAATATCATGTAGCTGTTTCGTTCCGTCCTCTGTGGTTAGACTGCACTGCATGCAGTAAGTGTGGCCGTAAGTGTTCTGGAAAGAGAAGATACGCACACTCTAAATGTCAATAAGGACAATTTTTGTAACAAGCACCGGACTTCTGCGTGCATAACTAAATTCAGATACAACATTGTGACTTGCTTGTCACTAAATGTGTGTTGGTAGTTACAATATTGTATCTGAGCTACTTATGCACACAGAAGTCCGGTGCTAGTTACAAAAATTGTCCTTGGACATTTAGAGTGCAAGTCCACTTGCATGCCCGTTTTCGGAACAGTATTACAATTTAAATATGCGCAGAGCGAATTAGTAACCTGGTACAAGGTATTCTGCAGTTCTGTAATATCCTGTACATCGGCTCCAGGCATGACACGTTATTGACGTGTTTGTATACTGAAAACTTACGAAACGTGATCCAAAATTATAGCAATTTTCATGTAATACGGCTTAAAAAACGATTACGCCATGTCCAAGTTTTCATGGAGAGGAATACCCCCTGGCACTGGCATACTGTCGCATTTGCAACCACTTTCGAGCATTGGGTAGATAGCTTGAAACGTACGTACTGGGTATAAGTGTGAATGCACGCGGGTTTGCCTACTCAATTCGCCCGTAAGGCGCCATGCCCTCTGCAGCCCTGGTGGGTATGCAATCCCGCAACACTGCTGCGCATTCGCAGTTACACCCGGTACATCCTAATATACACATTTTAAGAGTCGTAACTTTTGACCTTGTCGGACCTTGTGATCCGTTGAGGTTTCAGATATTAGACAGTGAATTCATTACGGATCCTCACAAACTCCGTTCTTAGCCCGCATCGACCCGTGTTTTTCAATTTACGGAGCAATGATGCTGTTATGATCTGACACCACTGTCCATTCATTGCTTCGTCCGTCACGCTTCACAACGGTTTGCCACGCTGCACAATGTTGCAGTCGCGGTGATTCGAACGACCCTGACAGTCTCTACTCTGCAGTACAACTCTTCCGGCATGCAGCTGTAGGGCCGAACTTTCAAAAAACTTCTGGGATAATTATTATCTTGGGATAGGTTGGAACTGTTCGTGTTTAATATGCTAACTGCATATACACAGTCAATTGGAAATGAACAAAAATTAGCCTGGTCCTTTTCAAGATTTGTATCAATTTATTTTACTAACCTTTTTTGGTTTTAAAGTTTTGAAGCTATCTGGGTTGCGTGTTTGATTTGAGCTCCGAGATATTTCCCCGTACACGCCCGAGGAGGGGTCGGCAAATTAGCGAAACTTCCTGCACATATTGTATGACTGTGCTGCATTTCCGAGGGGGAAACGACTAAGATAATCCGGCTGACAGCCGTTCGGTAATGTGGCAGGGGTTATCCAAGTAAATTTTAAAAAATCCGGGGTAATCCGGGGAAATTTTGGGGTAATCCGGAAAAATTTTGGGGTAATTCGGGATAACCCTAGAGAAGAAGCTACGTAATCCGGAGGATACTCAGGAGGTATTCTGGGTAATCCGTAATCCCGCCGACACAAAGACTGTTATAACAGTCGTTTCCCCCTCGCGCATTTCCCATGTAAAAGTCGTGATCAACCAAAGTTGAGGTATTTTTCCTTTTAATTTTTTCGGGCATAGGCCTACAGGCGTTAAGAATGACTATCGCAAACTTCAAAACGAGTATTGTTGAAAAGTGACACATTTTGTTAGTTTGATCGCGGAATCTTGCACTCGTCGTGTTCACATGATATTGTATCAGTCGAGTCGTTACCCACTACTGCAGTCGAGTCGTTACCCACTACTGATATGCATCAAAGGCGATAGTATTTGTTTAAATTTTTTATCACCAGCAGGACGCTTTGACTGCTGCAAAGTCCCCATCCTATTTTTAGTCCGGACAGAGTTGAGCAGCAAGAAAGGAGCACCGAAAACTCAAGTGTTTGCATGCCGTACACTTGCAGGTGTGTGAACGCGATTCGTAATTATAGTGGCAGAAGTGAGTGAATTTTCGAAGTGGTCTCATGGGCATTCACACACCTAAAAGTGTGCGACGTCCACACACTTGCGTTTCGAGTGAACTCTCTTGCCGCTCATTCATTCTTAACAGAGTAGATACAATTAGAAGTCGCGCTTATTTCGCTCTCTAATCACTCCGTCTGGGCGCGATCTTGTGGTATTTCTCTTATGCTATTTTCCTCTCTTGCTTCTCTTTAAGTAAGTCAGCGGTCTGTCGCTGGTTCCTCATGTGCTCCTCTGGTAGTAGGACTTCTTACTCGTTCCGGCCGCAGGAGCCGACTGCCAACACCCTACCACAGGCTGCTACCCCCACCTCTCATAGTGTTGGCGTCTGACCCGCTCCATCCACCTCCGTCTCGCTCCACCCGGCCCCACCCCTTGTGCACCGAGCAATGTGCGGGCGCGCTGAGGCTGATGCAACTCAGACCTGCGCACCGTCACTTCACGAAAAACAGCTGTGCAAACTCTGTTTCCGCCCTACCCGTAGCCCTCCTGCAAACCAGTTTTGTGTGTTTATTTTTTGTCGAAGATTTTGCAAAAGTCAAATGTTTCAGTTTCAAATTTGGTTCTGCTGATTTACCAGCAGCATAGTAATTGGAAGATTTGTAAGAACACAATTTTTTCACAACACCAACAGCCTGCTTTTTTGTATACAATTTTTACCGAATTACATCTAAAGTGACTCACTCAGGACCAAGATCCAGTTACGTACAACCAGTCTCGCCCGTGAGCTTTGCTACACCGCGACCCTCCTAGTCATTGCCAATGGCACCAAGAGCAAGGTGACGGACAGCTATGTTTCGTCAGCCAAGGGGTGCGAAACGTTGAAGAAATGTCCATGCTCCAGCATGCTTATAATGATGAATCCTTGGTTGGAAATTTAAGTAAACACTTATTAACAGAAAGCCAGTTATTTTAATAGAATAACTTCTATTTTTCGTGAGATTAGTTAAAACAGATAATGTTTTGGACAAGTCGGTTACATCTATACTCAACGAATCGAACTGTATAATAGCTTCTTTTAACTGCATAACTCAAGCCTGACAGTTTGAACTAACTGTGTTCGAAACTAAAAACAAAATTGTACATATTTACAATTTTAACTAAAAAAAAAAATAGTTTGTCCAGCAAACTAGTCATTCATTTTCACCATTTAAACTGAAAAACAATACAGTGCAGCTTGAACCGGTAACCTAGATCTATAGCTTTGCAGTTTTAACTGTGCAAGTTTTTCGTTTTGCAGTTCAAACCGCAAGACTTTTGTTTTTCACTTTGAAATGTAATCTTGTTACCGTACAGTTTGATTGCAGAGTAATTTCTCGTAAGTTTAGTGAATCGTGGATTTTTGATAACTTTAACACTGACTTTGGGGAGGGCTGATGCTCTGCGATTTCTATATGATTTATTAAATCTCGGGGCACAGTATTTAACTTTTGATCACTAAGTGCTTACTTAATCTTAGCAGACTCGCTTACTTGATTTTTGTTCCTCTTGGAATAATGGAATTAATTTTCAGCCACATGTGCTGTGAATGACCAGCGAGCAGTTGCGTACAAATTCTCGCTGTCAAAGATACAAAACCGACAACTGCATCAACGCAAGCTGTTTGTGTACATGGTTTAAATAATATCACGAGAAAAAGATTTTTGTAATAATTTTAGCCCAACAAATGCGATGTATATATGATTAAAATGTAGATGACTAAAGGAAAGACGCATATGTATCTCCGTGCGTGCGCGTGCGTTTGCATGCACACGCGTGTGTGTGAGTAAGTGACAGAGAGAGAGAGAGAGAGAGAGAGAGAGAGAGAGAGAGTGTGTGTGTGTGAGAGAGATCATGTGTGTGTCCGTTAGTGTGTGTGAGGTCGGACAGGGTCGGGTCGAGGGGGCTGGTCCACCTTGCGGTGGGCCTGAGCTGCACCACAGCTGCTGCAGCTAGAAGTGCAGGGGGAGGTATCCGCCTCCTAGTCTTGTTCGTAGGACTCTTCCAATATATAACGCAGCCGTGTCGTTCAGAGCGCACAGTCCAACCACACAGCTCGTCCTCTCAGCAGTCATGGAGCCTCAGGTGTGTGCGTGTGTCGCGTGTGTCCAGGTCTACTCGTTTAGTTTGTTCTCTTGCGGCATTGATTCGTCCCTTGCATAATGCCCCTTTCCCGTGTAGTCTATGGGTTCGGTCTGGGATGCAGCTGGGGTGAATCCGGGCAGGACTGGAGTAAAGATGACCCATTGGTTGGGTATGCCCCTGCTGCTCCACCCTATCCTGCGTGCTTCTGCTTCTATAATATTCTATCAATATTATCGATTACTCAGTAATGATTCGACCGTATTCACAGTGCACGCTGCCTCGGATGTAATATGAAGTTATTGCTCTATCGACGGATGGGAGAGCAAGGGATGAATGATGGAATCTCTAGAAGCTTCTTGAACGATCGATTCTGTTTGTTTTTGACTTAATTTTGTAATTACGTTTGTTTTGAGTGTTAGTGGTGGGGTAGTTTATGCAAAATCGCTCAATTTACTTATAAACAGAGAATTAAAAGCATGTGGGTTTTGATAGCCACGATAATCTTGTTTTTATGGATTTTCAGCGAGGGGAATCTTAACGTAACGTGGAAGAAACATGAGACCTACTTAAATATAGACATGAAATGGAGACCTCCACACGGTAAAAAGAATGTCTTGAAATCCCAGGAAATTTCTGGGATTTCGAGGTTGGGTGGATAATTTCAAGATTGACCCTTGAAATCCCAGACTCTGTCTTGAAACCCGTAGCTTCCTAGGGAAATCCTTGGAATTTTCGTCTGGTATTCAAGGATTTTCCTTGAAGTATCCACATCGTGCTTCAAGGAAAACCCTTGAATACCAAACAAAAATTCCAAGGATTTTCCTTGGAAGCTACGGGTTTCAAGGCAGAGTCTGGGATTTCAAGGGCCAATCTTGAAATTATCCACTCGACCTTGAAATTCTAGAAATTTCCTGGGATTTCAAGACATTCTTTTTACCGTGCACGCTTTAGAAATACGACCATGTAATTTATGTCCAACCCCTGAACCATTTGGTGGCATACAGTACGTCCTGTGCCTGCTGGCGCTGCTCTCCGCGGCCGATGCCGGGCTGATCGGCGCACCCCTCGGGCTGTCCCTCGCCTCGCAGACGCTGCACCCCGCACCGCTCGCCTACCCGACTATCGCCGCCGCGCCAGTCATCCAGAAGGTGGCCGTGGCCGCGGCACCCGCC